ATATGGAATCTGCCAAAACTGATGCAGGGAGCTGCGGTGGGGCCTCGACAGCTCAGGTGGCTAGAACACTGGCTGTACTCAAGACTTTCCCCACACTGGCGTGTGTTCAAATCCCCCCAAAGCCGCCGATTTTTTCACAATTGGGTCAATGGAAGTGTTCAAAGCTGTTAAACCCCATTCTAAAGACTTTGCTAAAGTATTGGCTCGGGCTTGATCGTTTGCTTAAGGCATCTGATACTCATTCAGATTCCCAGACGACATTAATTCTGCTACAATTTTAGAGGGGTTGGCAGATTTGAATCAGTCACTCAACCTAATTGTGAAAAAAAAACACCGTGGGCGTCGAGTTTTTACTACTGAATTGATTATTATTAATTTGCGTCAATAATTACTTGCTATTGCGGTAGCTAGCACTTCGCTAGGCCTTTTGCGACACACCGCTTTTCAAACTGCGCGTTGCTTTGGTAGGTGAACTGGGGTACTTAAACACCATGTTCATCTTTTAATTCTACGTGTTCCTACCAGTTATCATTTTTAACCCATCCTTAGAACCTCATATTTACCACCCTTTCGGATTAGGTTACTCAGTGGTTTGGATTTTTTTCATTGGAATCGCATTTTAGGCTCACATCTAACCGTCTTTAAATCTTGAAAAGTCAGTTTATTAGACAAAACAGGTTTTTCGGCAATTCTTCGTCAGGCCTTTAACTTTGCAAAACAATGAATATTTGAACGTGTACAAAAAATCAATAATTTTCTTAGGTGGACGCCTATTGGCCACTGCGCTCTTTTTCAGTCCGCGCAAGTGGTCGGTGAGCGACTGCCACTCGTGGCGCAGTGGCCAATAGGCGCTCACCTAAGAAAATTATTGATTTTTTGTACACGTTCAAATGTTCATTGCTTTGCAAAGTTAAAGGCCTGGCGAAGAATTGCTGAAAAACATGTTTTGTTTGATAAACTGACTTTTCAAGTTAACAATGGGAATATTTTTACCGAACTTGGACAGTCTTTGAATCTGCTTTACTAAACCCGAGGGTGAAATGGCACGTGATCTTCTCTGTTGTTTATATTCGTTTGGATTTGATGGGCAAATGCAGCATGGTGGCCGCTCGGCGGACAATCCCAGGCTCTCTGTTCGAGCAGGAATAGTACTTATTATTTATTTAATTCCTCGCCACAGTATTTGAAAGTCAAAATATGGAGAGTCTACGGTTCAGCCGTCTCTTGACAGGTTGACACAACTGTCCTACTAAGAACCTACTCTGTGTGTAACCTCATTATTATTATTGTATACGTACTTACTTATGTAGTGGTTAAGTCTTGGGGTTAAGATGAGCTGCAAGATCAGGGTTATTTATGGTTTGGGTTAGAGTTAGTTAGTTTACACGCCGTTTTTTTAATTGCGCGTTGCTTTTGCTAACGGAATTGGAGGATTTAAACAACTTTCAGCTCACTTACTGTTTTCGTCTATTTTCTAGTCCACATTTTCCTGCTTGTTATCATTTTTACTCACCCCTAAATACTACAATTCCCGTATTAGAGGAGATCTCGCGTATCTTAGTTTGCCAAGATTTTGCACATATTATATCCATACAC